TGTCTCTGCCTGTCTGTCTATTTCATCTTTCTCTCATCTACTATCAACCTGTCATGTTTGTGAGTGAAGGTATGCCTTTGTATGAGTTTGTGTGTGTGTGTGTGTGTGTGTGTGTGTGTGTGTGTGTGTGTGTGTGTGTGTGTGTGTGTGTCTGTGTAGGTGTGTATGTGTTTGTGTGTGTGCGTGGGCGCGTGCGCGGGCGCTGGAGCGTGAGTTTGACATGATTTTCTTCTCTCTGTTCTCACTCAATGTCCCAGTCATTCTATTCTTATGCATTTCATATGTGCATCTCTATCCAAGCGAATGAACGTGTTTTTATGCAGATAAATTGTCATCTTGACAGACTGAAAGATCAGACAAGATGAATAGTCATCTTGATAGACTGAAAGATCAGAAAATATGAATTGTCATCTTCATAGATTGAAAGATCAGACAGGATGAATTGTCATCTTGATAGGCTGAACGATCAGACAGAAAAGACATAGTGTCTGACAGCACTGCTCCTGGCCCAGTTTTAACACGTTATAATTTAGCTTTAATTTTCTAATAGAAATATATTGAAAGAGGGTCAAAAGAGGAAGGAAACGATCTGTCTCTCGATCCCGCTCTCTTTACTCCTTCGACTCTCTCTCTCTCTCTCTCTCTCTCTCTCTCTCTCTCTCTCTCTCTCTCTTTCTCTCAGTGGCGGTGGGAGGACCAAAATTTGAGTGGGGCTTAGGTTGCTTCCAGTTCTATACCACCAAATAGCAAGCAATAAGAACTAAACAGTAATTATTTTTTTATACTCACGGTGAGCCACGGCAGTTTGAGAACCATTCAAACGAGAAGAGTTGCCTTTATTTTCCATCTCTTTGTTCTTAGTTAAATTCTTGTTGATGGTGTGGGCGCAGCCGATTCACCTCCAGATTTCCTCTAATTAGTTTTCGTGTGATGAAAAAATTGCCTTAAAAGTAGTTCGACCTGATTTATAAATGTTAAATCTCAGCGGCACAAACACAAATATGCCCACACAGCACTTCAAACATAATACTTATATGAACTGGATTAGGCCGTGCAGTCGAGAAAGTTGAACGCACCCAACAAAGAATCAATGAGCGCATAGGTAGGTATGTGTGTCAGTGGGGGAAAGTGTGTCGTAAACTTTCACCCCATTGTCAGGGCTAGGAGAGCGTGTGCCCTCGGTACAGTGTTATTTTTTCCCCAGTCTTCTACTTTTTTACAAGACGAATTTCATTAAGGATGGCCTGTGGGAAAAAGGCTCATCCTCGCTGAGCCCTACAGACATTTGATTGGCTGCGGGGTTAATATAGTTGTAAGCGGTGACAACAACAGTGATTGGATAAGCAAGCAAGCCGCCAAGTTGCTCACTCTGTGTTCATTGCGTGCGGTCATAACGATTTCAACTGCTTATTTCATTATGGAGAAACTTCCATTTACTTTGGGATAGAGTTGGGG